AAAAAATTAAAAAAAATAAAATTATTTTCCCTGTTTTTTAACTTTCTTAATGTAACTACTAGAAAATTTTGAATTATATACATGACTTTTATTTCTATTGGAAGTACTGCCGTAGAAAATCTAAACAAAATCAATACAGTATGTCTTAGGTACATGTGAAACAGAATATGTACACAGCCTCAACACTGGAAACCAATGTGACAACTACTAATATTACAGTGCAGGAAGACCTAAATAAATGGAGGGTATAACATGTCTATTCATTGGAAGATTCATTACTTTTAAGGTATCAATTTTTCTTGATCTATATAATCAGTGCAAACCCAATCAAAGTCCCAGCAGAATTTTTGGTGGAAATTGATAAACTGATTCTATAGTGTATCTGGGAATGCCAGTGACCAAGAATTGTCAAGGCAATCTGAAAGAAGGACAAAAGTTGAAAGATTTATACTATCAGATATCAAGTGGCAGCAGTTTCTCTTGTCATTTTGGGCATATAGAGGACAGCCACCATAGAGCTTCTCAAGAACCTGAGGTCCCTCACAGAGTGTTTCTTTCTCAGGGCTGGGGTGAGGGCAGTGTCTTCAGGGCTCACTCCCAATAGGAATGCATATTTATGTTCATTACAAGACACATGCAGGAAAGTTCATAGCATTTTTGTAGTCACCTAAAACTGGATGCTACCGAAATGTCCATTTAGAGAAGGATAATTACATAGATGAAGCTGTATGCATGTAATGGAACAGCCTACATCATTGAGAATGAAATCACATGCAAAGCAAATCTTGCGGACATGATGTGGAATGAAAGAAGTCCCACAAAGAAGACTGCATACTGTTTAATTCTGTTTATATCCTTTCCCAAGACAGGCAAAACTAGTGTATGGTGGCATAGTGATTATCCTTGCTGGGAAGAATGAGTATAGATAGCACAGGGGGGTCTCTGGAATGCTGCTGAATTTTTTTTTCTTGTTTGGGTGATGGTTATACAGTGTTATTCACTTTGTGAAAATTTAGGAGCTGTGTGCTTATGCTTTGTGCACTTTTCTGTGTGAATGTTATACCTCAGTGGATTAAAAAAAAAAAAAAACCAAACAGATAAAGAATAGGCCCATACCTGGAGTACTAGGTGACCCAACTTTACCTAGAACATAGAGGCCTTGGAAAATATTTCCCAGTCAACTTTTGCAGGAATGCCAACATCTTTGAAGTGTGGGATTTTGGTAAATGGAAGTATCTATTATAGTAAATACTCTTGAAAGTGATTTTGTTTGTAGACTGTTGGACAAAACCACATGGGCCACAAGAAGAAAGTCCTTCAGTCAGCTGTGGGGTTAGGTAGAGTGTGTGCATAAAGAAGATGATATCAGGGGAAGAGCTGTTTTAGTTTGGTACTCTATGTCCTTTCTATTGTAGATGTCATCATTTTGAAGGAAGTATGAAACTTCGGTGTATGGCAAATGCATTAAATAAATAACCATCAAACATTTCCAGGATGTGTCCCAGGTGTATACAACACTTCTTACCTCTTCCAGATATCCGAACACCATTATTAATGGCATTTTTGTTTTTATAAGGCTTCTCCTGGCCCACAATCATTCCGGTGAAAGGTGCATACACGGTAGATCCATCAGAGCACAAGACATCCACACCTGGGTGAGGCCTGTGATTTCTAGAATGTAAATAAGAATGAACAGACTGAGAAAATGCCCTGGGAACTTTATTGCCCAGAAATGTGGTGTTCGCTCACTGTTCCCAGACTAGGATATCAAACACTGAAACTGGAGAACATGTTGGGATGTCCCAGGTTTCCTTACTCTTCTTTATCTCAATTTTAACCTCCCTACCTGCAGGTAGTAATAATCATATTGTAAAGATTAAAGCATTTAAGATAGTATTTGGTATATAGAGAGACTTTAAGAATTTATGAACTATGATTATTATATGGCATTTTGGGGAAATGAGACATCTATCTATGTAAGTAAATTTTATAGATCTATGAATCTTGACCCCTTCAAGACCACTATAAAAGAGTTGTCTTTTTGGGCGCCTGGGTGGCTCAGATGGTTAAGCGTCTGCCTTAGGCTTAGGTCATGATCTCAGGGTCCTGGGATCGAGTCCCGCATCGGGTTCCCTG